TAAAGTACCCAGACTAACACAGCACCCATGTTAAGTATTCTAACTTAATTCTGGGGCAAAAATACCCAACCTGGAGTCAATCAGTGAGTGTTTAGGGAGGGCTTCCTGGACGAAGAAGCCACACCTGGTCAGGAAACTGAAGAATGCTGATAGGAGTTAACCTGAAGACAAAAGGAGAAGCAAGGGCTTCCAGACCAGGGAGAAGACAACCTATGCCAAGTCGCTGCTGCAGAGCCCTCTCCTCCCACCCCACCTCAGCTGCCCACCATCTCCAGTTGTTCTCTGTCTTATGATCCCTCACTTTCTGAATTGAGTCTTTTTTGCACACTTGTTTAACGTGAGCTTCTGGTAACTCCTATCATGCCTGGCTCATACTTAGTGCCCAAAAGCAATCACTGGATGGATGGATGGATGGATGGTCTAGTTTTCAGAGAACTTGACATTAGACCAGTTTCTCTGGGTGGCTGGGCTCAGAACCCCACAGGCCAGAAAGAGTTCTGGATTGGGCAAATACTTTGCTCCTCGTTGGGCACTCTGCCTGCCCCGGCTCTTGTCTCTGAGCCAGAGGACAGGGTAGCAACTGAGGCGTGAACATGCTGTTAATAATTGACTGGAGCTGGTGCTTAGCTGCCTATTTACAGACCCACACTGCTAATGTATCATTAATGGAGGTCCAGAGGCAACCCAGTCTCCCTTCCTCCAGGGGAGGCCAAGGCCAAGTCTCCCACAGCAACCCTTGGAGATCAGAGGAGAATGGGGGCTGGGCTTTGCCCTGGCAAAGACTAAATTCCTCCTGTCCCCTAACCACCAAAGACCTTTTCAATACATTCAAGACATTGCAAGAGTCTGAGAAACACCATCTTTCGCTCTTAAGTCATAGCAGCCCTGCCCCTAAGGCAAAACTGCTGGCATTATTCATCCTGTTTAAAGAGTGAGAAATTGGGATGGTGGGTCTGAGAGCCTTGCTCCAGGCCCCACAGCAAGTTCAGGCACATATTTTTCCTAAAACCCAGGCACATCCTAGGGCCTGGCCCAGGCTCCCAGGAATCCTGTTGGTTCTTTCTCCGGCTGAGTAATATTGAGCAGCGGTTCTCAACCTTCCTCAGCCCTTTCATACCTCATGTTGTGGTGACCCCCCAACCATAAAATTATTTTCATTGCTACTTCATCACTGTCATTTTGCTCCTGTTATGAATCAGCCGAGCCCTGTGAAAGGGTCGTTTGACCCCCAAAGGGGTCTTGAGCCACAGGTTGAGAACCACTGATATTGAGGGGAAATAGGGGTACAGGCAGTCTACCTGGAAGGCAGGCTGGCTGGTTACTCTTAGGACTTTCTGCCCTCCCTACCTGCAATTGCATTCCATTCAGACTTACAAAGTATGTATTCAGTACCTCCACTACCCCGCACCCTAGATTCGAATTAGGAAACAATAAAAAGTATACATTAAAAAAAAACACAGAGCTGTGGAGAGGACTCTGGTGAGCCTGCGTCTGTCAGAGTAGAGCTGTGTTCCATTAAGTTCATTTGATCATCACCAGGCTTTGATCTCGAAGCACTTCTGGGAGGACTTGAACGCTTATCTTTCAGTGAGCAGTCGAGCACGCTGTTCATACCAACTAGGCACTGGCCTGGCATAAAAACCCAAAAGAAAAAGAACCAAAATCACTGCCGTCAAGCCCATGCTGATTCATAGAGACCCTGTAGGTCCAGACAGACTTGTCTCAAGCGTGTAACTCTTTACAGGAATAGAAAACTCCAGTCTTGCTCCCTCCGAGTGAGGGTGGTTTTGAATTGCTGACGTTATGGTGAGCAGCCCAACTCGGAATCGATCCAACATCAGGGCTCTGGCAAGTACGATAGCTTGATAATATGCTGCACTTCCTTAGCACAGTGCAGAGCAGGGCTAGTAAACCACAGCGATGACCCACCCACCACTTGGCGTTAAAAAGACATTGGATCAGGGCCATTACTTAAAGCGGTAGCCTCCAGGGAGAAAGAGGTGGCAGTCTGTAAAATCTCAATAACCTTTGCAGCCTGAGCGAGTAGTTCTCTGTCCTGGAGGGTTGCTAATGAGTCGCAAAGGGCTCCAAGGCATTGGGAGGGGACTTTCCACAAAGGCAGAACTGGATAACTGGTAGACTTCCCTGCCCTAAAACCTAAAATAGTTATGATCTGCCCCTTTACTGAAACATTTTTCCCACCCACTACTATCTGGGGGAACCTTGATTTGAGCAAGCTAGTCTCCCTCCCTGTGCCTCAGTTTCCCCACATAGCACCTCCCGCGTGGGGGTTGTGGTGACATGTGAGAAGGCCTCGAACAGCGCGGGTATCTGCAGGTGTAAGGGAGCACCAAAAAGTTCGTGGAAAAATGGAATGGAAACACCATGGAATTTTTCCATGAACTCCTTGAAGGCCTCTCCTCTGAGTCAGGGCCCGCACCCTGTGAACATTTGTTCTCCATCCCGGGAACCCTGCACCCTGCACGGTAGTTACTCTCACCACCCCAGTTGAGGGATGAAGAAACCAAGGTCCAACAGGAAGTCCGTATTGCTCAGTATATTGTGAGCATCTGAATGTGGGGCTGTCCCTTTGCCTTTCAAAGCCAGGAAACAACCCTGTGGTCCTTGTGTTGGTATCTAACTCGGAGTGACCCTTCAGGACAGAGTAGAGCTGCCCTATAGGGTCCCTTTCCAGTGGAACCAGGAGGGAGTGGCCGATGGGGTTCAATGACTGACCTTCTGATTAGCAGCTGAGAGCTTAACCCCAGGGCCATCGGGTGCCTTAGCTACTTCGAGCACACAGAAATGGATGTGAGGTCCTGGCCCTTGTAGCAGTCTCATTCTATCGAGCAGAAAAATGAGCAGCAGATGCTATGCTGTGGGCTGATAAGCGGGCAATCAGGGAAGACTTCTTGGAGATGCTGCGGATGAAGCTTCCTGCATGGCAGAGGAAGTGCCGGGTCTGGCTCCCACCACAAAGGGGGCTCAGAGGTCAAAGCCTAGGAGAACTCCTATGCCAGCCTCATGCAGAGCCTGCAAGATGCTGCATCATCATCCGGCTTCGTCCAAGTGCAGAGTGTCCCATGGCACTGGCCTTTGGGAGACAAAGCTGGTCCCTTGCTCCCAACCCAGCAGCTGAGATACTCTGTGGGCATACAGGGACCTTGGCAAAGTAACCTGGGGCTTCCCATCTCTTCAGAGCCCTCCCTAACCCAACACATCATCGAAGGCTCCTTGCTGGGTGGGCATCAACATGATCTCCCTTGCTAAAGGTTGACATTCCTTGTTTATAGGAAGCAGCGGTCTCTATCTTTTATCTCTCTCTTTGTCTCCCCTTCTTCTCCCCCACCCCCCTGCCTCCCTCCCACACACAAACACACCACCCTCCCACAGGCCCGCTGGGAGCCACAATCCTGTCTGATCTCTTTTGTGACCAATCTCTGTTGGCCAGGTTCTCTCGTGCCCCCTGGTGTGCATTCTGAGAATTGTAAGGCCCCAAGTCATCCCTGCACATGGCAATGCTCCTTCAGCCCTTTGGGTTCTTGCAACCCTCAGATGGGCTTATTGGAAACTATCTAGTCTATCTATCTCTAGATAGATGATAGAAGATGATAGATAGATAGATAGATAGATAGATAGATAGATAGATAGATAGATAGATAGATAGATAGATAGATAGATAGATAGATAGATAGAGATATATAACAAGCCCTGTGAGAGATAGGGGTGCTGAGTTTCCCAAGAGCCAACCATGCAGCATATACGGGTACCCTTTCCTGCAACTGTCCAGTCAATCCCAGCTCTAGCATCGAATTGCCTCATGGGGGTTTCTTAGCTGTGATCTTGTATGGAAGCAGGATCCTAGGCTTTCTTCTATCGAGCTGCTGAGTGGGCTCCAACTGCTTATCTTTAGCTGAGCAGCTGTTGACACAAGCCACTTGTGTCACCCAGGCTCCTATCACCTAGAATGGGGTCTCTGTAACAGTGTAAGACCAGTGCTGGACACTCAGTGTTCACAGATTGATCACACCTACCCATCCATTTATGAATTTCCATGATGTAAACGGAGGGCCTACATGGGCCCCTCGGAGGCATATGAATCTCCAAGTATCTCTGAGAGGGAAGTCGGACTCGACATCTGGGAAGTTCTCAGTAGAGGCATGGTGAATGAATGAATGAATGAATGAATGAAGCTAGGAATGAAATGGATGAGGAGAGCAGCTAAAGCGTAGCAGGCACCCACTGAGGCCGTCTTGTTCCACCAAGTCTCCGTCTCCCGTTTGACAAACCAGTTCATTCTTGGCCTGGAATCATGTCAAAATCAGGCTAAAGAGAAGATGGCAGGGGGGGGTGGGGGTGGAGGGGGTAGATAAGGAGCTCATACCAAGCACTCAAGTAGAACGAGCATGTTTTGAAAATGATCATGGCAACAAATGTACAAATGTGCTTAATTATCAAGGGTTCGTGAGGGAGGGAGGGTGGGGGTGGAGGGGGTAAGGGGGGTTGGAGGTAGGAACTCAGTTGGTTGAGTTAATAAGCCATGAACCACTCTCCACCTGATGGTCCTGCTATGACCAACTGGTTGCAAGGTACTCCCCGAGCCCCAAAGGAAAACCCTATGGATGGAGGGCTGACCACACTGCTGTCTGTCTTGCTGATGGGCGGGCATGACACAGAGTCTGGTGGATAGAATCCCAGCACTCACCACTTGCAGGCCTGGGCCATGAACACCTCCCATGTTGGTTTTCTATAGCCTTCCCCTAAATTCTGGGCACAGCTGCAAAGAAAATAGCAGGGCTCTCCAAGCCCCCTTGGGAAGGGCTGAGCCACAGGCAGGAAGGTCCCTGGGTCCCTGAAAGGTTCTGTGGAGTACAGTGCCCCACCTTCACCCTCCGGCTGCCAAGTGGTGGCAATGTGAGGACCAGGAAGAGAGTGTATGAGACTAAATTCTCTCAGCTCATGATTGAGGAACCTGGGAGACCAGGATTCCATGGAGGGAGGCCTTCACTTTTGTGAGTTGGAGATAAGGTCCAGTCACGATCTCCTGTCTAAAGATCATTCCCCGCAGTCTCCCCCCATAGGGGTGCTACTTTAGAGATGCCCCTTCCAAGCGCATGGCTGGTCATTATGCAGCCAGGTGCCTTTATCTGTAGGAGCAGACATGTTACTATTGTTCTCCCCACTCACAGAACAGTTGGCTCCCTTCTTGCTGACCCCAGAAGTGGTGTTAGGTTACTCCCCAATGGAACTCAGGGGCACCCAGGTTAGGAAACTGCCCATCTTGTTACATTTGTGGTTTCCTGCAGCTCTGAAGGCTTGCATGTCCCGAGACTATATAAGTTAGTGAAAGAATACATTCTCTCGCTCTGGACCCCATGGAAGAAGGGAGTGCACTGTATTCCCTGTTTCTTATTTCTTCTTAATTGTACAACCACTCCTTAGATCCCACTCGGTTGTGGGAAGCTGGTTCCCTCTCACACCAATTGGGCTTTACGGGGGCAGGAAATACACTTATTAATCTGCCAGGCCACTGAAATGCGGGGGTTCATATGGAACATAAAGTAGGAACATACTTTGGCTCATTCACAAGCCCCATTACCTTTGCAGCTGATGGGCTCAGACCGGTTGCCCTCAAAAAACAGCTTCAATTCTGGGGCCTTCTTAACGTTAAATTCCTCCTGAAGCTCCTTCTCAATAGTGATGTCCACCTTGCCGAAGCCAATCCCATTCTTGCCTTTGCCCATGATCTCCATGGCTTTGCCCAGCTCCTCGGCCATATTCCTGGATCGCTTGGAGGATGGGTTGTCTGTAAAAGTCAGCACAAAGACAGAACTTACTTCTTTGCCCACCCTCATCCTCCGAGGAGGAGGCATCCTCTGGGTTGGCTAGCTCGTACGTGGCACGGGCCTTTCTTTGCTCCGCTGGTGATGGGTAAAATTTCAGAAACGTGACAGGCTAGGCAATAGGATGGTTTATGAAGCTGAACAAATGGGTCTACACCAAGGTTCACCCCTTTGGATTCAGCAACACTGGAAACAAAACAACTTTGGGAAACAGTACAAGGAACCCAAGTTATCTGGGTGTCATCTCATCCTGGGTCAAAAATGGAGTAAGTAGCAGTGATGACCTCATGGAGCTGTTCAAAATAAATAAGATTCATGTAACAATCACCCATGCACTGCCTTATTATTGTGTAAGAGCTCTACATTTGTCAATCCATTGCATCTTCCCACTTGCCCTCGGGGGCAAATCCAAACCAGACACAGCTATTGAGTCAATGTCAACCCACAGCAGCCCTACGGGACACGGAGGACCTGCCCCCATGGGATTCCCAAGGCTGTAATCTTCCTGAGAGCATCCTGCCCTACTCTCTCCTGCAGAGCGCCTGGCAGGTTGGAACTTGTAGTTTAGCAGCAAAGCGCTTAATCGCGGCACCACCAGGGCTCCTTCCACTAGGAGGTAGGTAATATTATCATCTCAATTTTGCAAATGAAGAAATTCATGTACAACAAACTTGCCCAAGGCTCTGTGAGGGTAAGAAATACAGCCAGGATATGAGCCTGCTCAATCTGGTTCCAGAATCCCAGCTCTCCTACCTCTCCAAGAGGCATGTAAAAACATTTAGCTAATGTCTGGCTCATGGTATGTATGAGACGTTATTGTTACTATTGACACATTTGTCAGTTTCATATATAGGCAGTGCCCAGATGGCAAACAGGTTCCCTTCACAAGTCTGTCTTCAAGTTGAACAACATGAATTGGAAGAGAACAGATCAGCATAAGCAAATGTGGTGAAGAAAGCTGATGGTGCCTGGCTACCAAAAGATATAGCACCTGGGGTCTTAAAGCCTTGAAGATAAACAAGCGGCCATCTAGCTCAGAAGCAACAAAACCCACGTGTAAGAAGTACACCAGCCTGTGTGACCACAAGGTGTTGAAGGGATCGGTTATCAGGCATCAAAGAACAAAAAATCATACCATTTTAAATGAGGGTGAGTGCAGAGTGGAGACCCAAAGCCCATTTGTAGGCAACTGGACACCCCCTTACTAAAGGGGTACAGGGAGGAGATGAACCAGTCAGGGTGCAGGGTAGCAACGATGAAACACACAACTTTCCTCTAGTTCTTAAATGCTTCCTCCCTCCACTATCATGATCCCAATTCTACCTTACAAATCTGGCTAGACCAGCAGAGGTACACTGGTACAGATAGGAACTGGAAACAGGGTATCCAGAGCGGATGATCCCTTCAGGACCAGTGGTGAGAGTGGCTATACCGGGAGGGTGGAGGGAAAGTGGGGTAGAAAGGGGGAACTGATTACAAGGATCTACATATAACCTCCTCCCTGGGGGACGGACAACAGAAAAGTGGGTGAAGGGAGACATTGGACAGTGTCTAATATGAGAAACTAATAATGAATTATGAAGGGTTCATGAGGGAGAGGGGAGCGGGAAGGGAGGGGGAAATGAGTAGCTGAAATTAAGAGCTCAAGTAGAAAGCAAATATTTCGAGAATGATGATGGCAACCAATTACAAATGTGCTTGACACAATGGATGGATGGATGGATTGTGATAAGAGTTGTACGAGCCCCCAATAAAGTGATTTTTTTTAAAGAGTTCAGATCGTTTCTAATGTCAGTGGGTCAAATGTTTCTCTTAGTATATTGTGTGATTTTCTACACGTTGCTATTAGGTTCCATCGTGTCAGCCCCGACTCATAGCCACCCTGTGTACAACAGGGTGAAACTGCCCAGCCCTGGACCATCTTCACAGTGGTTGCTATGCCTGAGCCCATTGTTGCAGCCATTATGCCAATCCATCGCCTTGAAGTCCGTCCTCTTTTTCACTGCCTCTCTACCTTACCAAACATAATGCCCATGTCTAGGCACTCATCTCTCCTGATAACACGTCCTAAGTATGTGCAGTGAGGCGTCTACATCTTCATTTCTAAGGAGCATGCTGGCTGTACTTCTGCCAAGCTAAATCTGTTTGCTCTTCTAGCAGTCCGTGGTACTTTCGGTATTCTTTGCCAACACCATGATTCAAATGATTCAAATCCGTTCTTCAGTCTTCCGTACTCAAACCCCAGCACTGACAATGCATAGGAGGTGATTGAAAATACAGTGACTTGCGTCATGCGCACTTGACTCCTCAAGGCGACATCCTTGCTCTTCGGCGTTTTACAGAGCTCCTGTACAGCAGATTGACCCAATGCTGGATTTCTTGAAAGAAACACTTCCCAATACACAAACATCTCTCTAATATAACAAAATGGTAATAACAACGCTTTGATATACACTGCAAAGTGGCGTCCATTTGTTATTTTAAAAAACATTGTGTGTATCTTGAATTTTTCTTATAATAGACTTTACAGGGGTTGGATCCTATTGGTTGGATGTTCGTAGCCCAGGGACTGCCTGTAATAAAAATAAAAACCATAGTCTAGAGACGGAGCATGATCACCCTCTAGTGGACGGTTCTGAATGGCAGGCCGGAGTGAGCTCTTCCCACGGTCCTATCATGGCAGCCCATGCGTTGCAGAGTAGAGCTGGGCCCTATGTGCTTCCAATGGCTGCAACCTTTTGGAAGCAGGTTGCCAGGCCTTGTTTCCAAGGCACCTCTAGGTGGGTTTGAACCACTGGCTTTTTAGTCAGTAGCCAAATGCTTCACCATGTGTGCCACACACTAGAATTGACTCCACATCAACCGGTTTTGTTTCCGTTTCCATGTGGCTGTTCCGGATGGCTGCGGTCCTTCTCATGGAAGACTGCAGGCCGGAAACCAGAGTAGCCAACTGGGTGTGGGGAGAGAGGGGGAACGGTAGGGGTGGGGGGTCGGGGGGTGACACTTCTGAACCTGTCTGCTTTCCTGTTTGGGGAAGTGAGGAGTGACATTTCTTGGCCCCTTCAGTGGCTGGGCTTGGGGGAGCCTTTTCCTGGAAACGGCCTCACGGAGCTGGCTTGTGGCCCTCGCAGTGGGAGAACTGGGCTCTAAAAGCCATTGGAGTTTGCCTTTCTCCCTCCTGATAACATTGTGAGCCTGTGGGTCTTTCCATGAGCCCGGCGTGTGTGGCACGCGGGCCAAGGCAGGGCAGGGGGGTCACTGATTCCCTTTCAACGCAGCACACTTGATCTTTGTCAGCCCCTTTCATGTAGAGCAACAAAAACTACCTCCCTAGCCAAGGGCAAGTTCCAAGTCTAACTGAGGAGTGTCTCATCAGTCCCCACGGCCCCTGTAGTATTGCCAACCGTGAATGATCACTTTCATTAAACTCCCAATCAATGGACGGGAACTCGGCCTTGTGCCTCCTCTGTAGGTCGATGCCTCTCTAATGACCACTTTGTTACCATCATAGCTTGTGGTACCCTCCCCCTTTTCCCTACCCATCTGTCATCTCCAGCATGAATGGCCTATTGCTGATTGCTAGCCTGGGGTCCCTCCGTGGCTTCCTTGTGGATTCTGCTAGGCCTACCTCCGGGTTACTGAGTGACTAAAATACAACAGAAACCCACACTTGTTGCCCTCAGGTCACTTCCAACTCATGACGGCCCTGCTGTGTATTACTGAGTAAAACCTCTCCATAAGGATTTTTGGGTTTTGCTGTAATCTTTAGAAAGACAGACTGCCAGGTCATTCTTCCAAGATGTTGCTGGGTGGGCTTGAACTGCCAACCATTAGGTTAGTTAGAGAAGCACAAACCCTTTGCAAACATCATTTCCAAATCTAGGTTCCTAAAGGGACAGAGGTGCAGAACAAGAGGTCCAGATAGCACAGCCCTCTGAGGATCTACACATGGCCCATGGAGTTCTGGTGTCACCATGGGCTGCACATTGGTCCGATAGCCCAAAGTCAACAGTTCAAACTCACTAGTCATTCTGTGGTAGACAAACAAGGCTTTCTGCTCCCCTAAATATTTATCATCGTGGAAAGCCACAGGGACAGGCCTGTCCTATAGAGTTGACAGGAGTTGGAATCAACTTGATGGCAACGCGTTTGGCTTTCTGGTGACTCTGAGTGTTTGAAGAGGTACCCAGAAAAGAGGGTTGTGACTATTGGAATGCTAAGATCTGAGAACAAGGCAGATGGAGCTGCCCAATGGCACCTACCAGGAACAGCAACGAGGACTCTTTCATTCATTCAAAACTATTTTTCAGCTTCTAACAACCAGAAGCTGTTATAGGTGCTCAACTCTCTCGCTACCATGGAGTCAATGTTCACTCATAACTACCTCCATATGGGTTCATTACCAAGACTGTTTATGGGAGTAGAAATCCCCGTCTTTCTCCCAAGGAGCTGCTGATGGCTTTGAACTGTTGACCCTTCAGTATCACAGCCCAAAGCTAAACCTCTACACCATCAGGGATCCATGTTCTTGGTACTAGGGATGTGTTATTGCTGTTAGGTGTGGTTGAGTGGATCCAGCTCACAGGGACCCTGGGGGACACAATGGCACTGCCACATGGTTTTCGTGGGTGTAATCTCTGCTGAGTAACTTTCAGGCCTCTCTTCCACAGAGCCCATAGATGGATCTGGACTGCCACCCTCTGGGTGAATTCGCATCACCGGAGCCCCTTCCTGGGGATACAACAATGAACACGCAGTAAAAATCCCTGCCCTCACTGGAGATGGTGGTAAATAAAAGCGAATGGTGGGTGACATTAGATGGTATGAGCTGTGGATGAAAGAGAAGCAGGATCGGGGACTGTGAGTGTCAGAGGGGTTGCAGGTTTAAGTCAGGAGAAGGCCTTTCTGAGAAGAGACGTTGTGATAAACACTAAAGGAGATGTGATAACCTGGGAGGAGAGGG